CCGTGTCCTCGCACCTGACCTCCGCGGCTATGGCGATTTCCGACTCCCCATCCTCTCCCTCTTCCTACACCTTCTTCCACATCGTCGGTGATCTCATCGCCTTCTAGATCACTTCAATCAACACAGTATGGTCGTATGTGGCTTTAATGGCGATGAAGCTTTAATCAACGTTAGGGTGATTTTGTGTAAGTATGAATATCAGGTGTTTGTGGTGGGACACGATTGGGGCGCGCACCGCCGTCTGGCATCTGAGTTTTTCTCCGCCAGATAGAGTCAAAGGAATCGTTTATCTCTCGGTATTCCATTTTTTCCAGATACCCTATCAATCCAACTCACTTATTCACCAAATCGTTTGGAGACGATTTCTACATCTCTCAATTCCAGGTTCTTCTTCTTCTCTTTCTTCTTCTTCTTTCTCTCACTCTGTTTTACATGGAGATGAGTTTCATAAAGTTTAGGAAATTAATACAGGAATCAGGAAGCAGAGAGGGCTTTTGCGAAATACGATGCTTGACAGTAATCAAGAAGTTTTTGCTGATCAACCATGGCGATGTACCGGTAGCACCTCCTGGAATTGAGATTATCGATCACATGGAAATTCCTTCGGCCATCAGAGAGCCTTCGATGTCAATTCTGCGCACGGGAGGTCGATTCTGATTTCAGGTTTTGCCCCTTTTGTGCTCTGCTCTCTGAGTTAATCGAGGCTGTTAATAGATATTAGTCATATCAAATAAGCAGTTTTATTTGCAGTGACGAATGCTCAGTTTGTATAATCTTTTAGCATTTAGTATTTCATAGACATGTAGGCCGATCGATCAGGTGTTCTTTGAGTTCGAATTGGCAGAAAAGCCCTAGTTTTCGTTATTTGAACCATCCCAAACGAAATCCCCAATAAAAATGTACGAAATTAGGAATCTTCTGTTGGATGATTCAAAAATACAGTCTTGAATGATGACATTGATAAACTCGATGTGTTTAGGTTTTTTTGGGAATTTGTTCTGATTGTCTAATTTTTACAGGAAATTGAAAGTTGTTTTGATGCACACCAAGCGCTCGGTAAAATGTTTCAACTGAATGGTATTTCTTCGTTTATAATATTCTATCAGAAAAAAATGTTTTTTATGATAATCATGAACATATTATGTTAGAATGCCCCGAATTAATATAATTATTGGTAAATGAATTCCAATTCTATCAGAATGGAATCACGAATTCCATTCATGCTGGAATGGAATATGGATATTTTCTCACTAATTTATTCATTGGATTATTTTCCACAGAAGCTGATGCTTGAAGAACGGACCACGAAATTTGAACGACGCCTCTTAGCAACATTATTCTTTTAGAATAAATTAGTGTATTTGTTAGATTTTAATGTTTTTTTTCCCGATTTTACAGTTTTTTAGTGTTATTCTTTAACAACAAATGTAATTCTTAGCAATTGTTACATGTATTCTATAAGAATAATATAATTTTTGTTTTAATTTTTCAATTGCTGATTCGAGAATTTGTTATTCTACAAGAAATATGTTCAAGAATATTTTTATTATTTTATGGTTTTAGAATATTTTTTTTTGAACATACTCAAACATATTCTGTCAGAATGTCCGAATTAAAAACCTTATAATTCGTAAAATCGGATTTTTAAAATTAATAGAATCTATGATTCCTTAAAATATGCAAATTTCCTTTATTAAATCTATATTAATTGACTAAAATACCCTTCTAGTTAAATTAGATGGTATTTTTCGATTATTTTTAATTCAATAATATGTATTAATCACTTTCTTAAAATAAGTAAAATTATTGGCCCATATTTATGCATACAATAACACAATAATTACTTTGAATAGAATAACCTAGGCCTATATATATATATATATATATTATATATAATTTTGCGAAGTGTTATATTCATTTACGTTTCTATAAATACGTTTAAAGTGTATTTATATAATGATATTGAAAAAATGAACTGAAATAAGTATTTATTTACGTTTTTAATAATAATAATAATAATAATAATAAATCTTTTTATTATGATGATAACAAGGCATCCAGTTTAGACATTATATATATGAAATCAGAGGAAATAGCAACAAATCGTTAGTAGCTTGCTCCTAAAGATGTTTGTTTCGGAAATGTAAGCTGTCATTTCAAATCCTGGGGCCTCATTTTTCATTATTTATTCTTCAATGATAGAACTTATATATATATATATATATATATATATATATATATATATATATCAACGAAATCAGCAATGGATTAAAAAATATCTCCGTAGTCAGTCAGTAAAGTGGGTCCATTATCAAATTGTTGAAAAATAAAATAAAAAACAAAAAGTAATTTTGTGAGAACGTGAGATACAATCTAAAAATAATTTTAAAATATAAAATAAAAGGAAAAATCCGAAAATTCTTTCTTTTTTTAATTATTATTTTCGTCATTTTCTTTACCTAAAAAAAATAAAAAATTACCGTTTTTTTTTTGAAAAATACGTAAAATATTCTCATAGAATATTACACTGTAAATATTCTAATGTGATTTTTTGAATGTTAGAATATTCTAGTATTGTAATAGTTTTGTCAGATATGTAAAATATTCTAATATTTTACTAGAATATTTGATAGATATTTCAAAAAAACGGTATTTATTTATTTATTTATTTATTGGATAAAAAAGTGACGAAAATAATATTTAATTTTTTTTTTCAATTAGTTTGCATCTTAAAAATGTTTTTTTTATCTACAAAATGAGTGGTTAGGATTGTGTTTCCCCGTCTCACAAAATATATTGGTCTCACATGAACCTATATATATATATATATATATATATATATATATATATATGGTCTCAAACGGGTTGATTAAAAAAAAATATATGAAGGTATAATATTACACATTTTTTAAAATAAAATTTAGAAATAAATACAAACAAAATGATGAATAAGTAAGTAATTAATGTATAATAATAATAATAATAATAATAATAAGTAATGGATTATTTTTAAATAAATGTGTTGAATCACAAATTTTCAAATAATTCTTTAAATACGACATTAGATGTTCTATTTGGTAAGTTTATCATCGTTGTCTAAAATTAATATTTTTAATCCACATCTGTTTATAACTTTGGACAATGTTATAATTGTCAATGAGTGAACACTAATTGTCGAAAAAAACTAACCGACATTCAATAACGACTATCATTAACTCTTGTTTACTATAATCACAAAATATACAACCAATAGAAATTGTCTTCTTTGAAAAGTGAAATGAATCATTTATTCCAATGGCATCAAAGACATTCTTCGAACAAACGTATGGTTTCCTTTATTACTTCCAGAAATTATCTCTTCTTCTATTACATGATTACACAATGCTATAACCCATAGCCTCGTTCCATTACACAAACCGAATGTGTCAAGATATGATTTTCAATTTTAAATAATACAGCCTCTTGGAGCAATAACATGATACATCTTTTTAAGACTTATGTTAAATAATGAGATTATATATAATTTTATTATAACTAGTGTAAGTGACCATGCTTTGCATGGGTTGGAATGGTGTTTTTTTAATAAGTGTGTGTAAGTAAGGTTGTAATCAGCCATGTTTCCATTCAATTCCAATTACAATCCACCACAATAGATTCCAATAAAAAATCATGTAGTTAATAGAGACCAATGGAATTCTCAATTCAGGTTTAAGAAAATCTCATCTGCATTACATTTCCAATTGTTTATAAACTCTATTAAAAAAAGTCTTAGAAACTTAACTTAAAAGTAAAATAGACAAAAAAAAATCTTAAATTCTAACTGTTGAAAAAAAGCCTTTTCTATAGCTCATCATGCATACATAAATACAAAAAGAAGAATGAGAATTGGTGGTGTTTAGACAAAAAGGACATATGCAATAAATAGCACTATACTTTCATTTATTTATTTATTACAATATTGTCCTTTTCAATTGCGGGTATAATTGCTATAATAAACAAATGAATAAAAGCATAACGATATTTCATCATAATTACCTTAACATCGTTTTCATCAGCCTCTTTATCATCTTTTGGTTAAATATCATCATTATCAGCCTGAAAAAAAAACGTAACCTTTAATAAATTTAAAATCCTAAATTAATAATAATAATAATAATAATACTAAATAATAATAATAATAATTATAGATGTCAGAGAAAGCCTTACATCAGAATCAGCTGGATCATCCTTTGATTCCTAAAAAGGGGACAAAAAATAAAGAGTTAAGTAAAAGAAAAAAAGTATATTAAGAAAATACAGACTAAATGTGAAGAAAAAGGCATGGTACATTCATTCTTTTTCTTATTAAGACATTTTACTTTGAATTAACAATCTATAATTTTATGGATTTTTTAAAGTATAATATTGTAATAAATAAATGAAAATATGAGGTAATACACAATTATATGAAAGTAAGAAACACTGAACATAAAGATTTGATACCTCTTCCTCCTTTTTCTTTTCTAGCTCTTAAAATGCTGGATTTTCGGCCTAAAAAATAAAGAAATAAGCATAAGGCGAATTAGAAATTATTTAATATAAAGAATAAACCAGAAAAAAAGACTGAAAGACGTATATAAAAATCAACTTACATCTTTTTGTTTTCCCCATGTTTGTTCAGCCACTTGTTTGGCATATTGTAACACCCCGACTCCCAAAGTATAAGTTTTAAAGCATTATATACAGGTTTATGGACTTACTTGACGAGTTGGTTGCCCCCAACTCGTCGTGTAGAGGTGGGTTAGCCCGCGTGGATTATTGGATCTACTCGACGAGTTGGAGGACCCGTACTCGACGAGTAGGAGCTGGGAGATGAAACCCTAATTTTTAGGGTTTACACCCTATTTAAAGGACCTTAAGTCCTTTCCTCCGGTCCCTTATCACCCCTTGACGGCCAGAAGAAACCCTAATCGCTATTAACCTTGTTCTTGAGTGATTGTGAGGCATAAAGAGTTATTTTGGTGCATTTTGTGAAGAAGGTGTAAAGTATAAGAAGCTTAGAGCAAAGAGGAGCTTGTGGATCTGAATCTACTTCCTCTTGGCATCATTTTGAAGGTATCAAGTTGATACCTTGGCTTATCTTTAATTAGATCTCTTCATGCCTAAGTTTAGTGCCATCTTTAGGATATTTAGGAGCCATTTCAGGTATTGGGGTAAGATCTGAAGTTGTAACTTCAGATCTGGACTCCCCTTGGTCCCTATAGCCATAAAGTTATGAGATTTGGCAAGCTTGGGCCTTTCCCTTTGAGTTAATCTTTCCCTTAGTCTAGTTTTGGCATTTAGGACCATGCATGTACGTAAAGTTTGCAACTTTATGTGGAAACCATGCCCTAGGAGGTTGGATCTGCAATATGGAGCTTTGGGATGGCTTAAAAACATCTGTATAAGAAATGGACTGCATAAACTCGACAAGTCGCTTAGCCGACTCGGCGAGTCGGATGAAGGTTGACCGTATTTGATTCTGTATGAACTCGGCGAGTCAGTAAGAGGACTCGACGAGTCAGTTAGGGTTTTCCCCGACATCTGGACACGCATGGACTCGATGAGTTGGTTGGAAACTCGACGATTCAGTTAGGTTTTTATGACTTTCCTAAGTTCTTGAGGAACTCGACGAGTTG